AAAAAAAAAAAAAAAATCAAACACAATTTCTCGATAATAAAAATTTTAATTATCAACTCCATTTTGATAAACCGAACCAAACTAAAGTTATGGGCTGAGGATATGTTAAGCTAAGACCATCTGCAACCGAAAAACTCATTCTCAAACTCAAAATGCAGTAACTGTTACATTAGTAATTTCATCTCTAACCGATATACTCATTCTCAAACTCAAAAAAATATTGTTGGAATATTCTCTTTCACACAAAATTACAACTTTTCACTACTACTCACATATTTTAACAATTTCACAAATTAGACTCATTATTATTTATAATTAATTGAGTAAATAAATAACATATTGATTATATATTCATATAAAAATATTGAAATACACATTCCATTATTTCGTGTACGATGAAAAAATAAAATAGGTATAGATTGATAATTCGTACATTAAAAAAATAATAATATAATATATATATATATATATATATTATGTTATTGAAAAAATAAAAAATATAATTATAAATTAATAATTTGTGCACATATATTAAAATACGTATATGTAAAATAAGAAAAATTCGAATTTACGTATCTTAAACTTTGAAAATATTTTAAAGATATAACTATTTTTATGATAACTTAGTTCAAAACGTTGATATGCATGTTATGGAAATATTTTACAAATAATTTAGGATGTTATGAAAATAGTTTACAAATATTGTTTAAATTTTGGGTGAATGGCTGATATATAATTTAGATTAAAAAATGGACTTAAGTGCAATTGTAAAACTTCAAACGCATTTTTTTTTGTGTTAAACGCAAATATGCGTTTCAATCAGGAGAGATAAACCGAATTACGCATTTTGCGTCTGTATATGTCGTTCCGGTCACCGGGTACAAACTCAACAACTAGAAATATACAAAGGCCAATGAGCAAAATTAACAGACCACTGCTACTTCGACCCTAGTATGTTAACAAAACCTAAAAACCAACAAAGCAAAGAAATATAACCAATAGAGCAAAAAGCAAAGAAACAACTATAACATAATATAGTTGTTTATTATGTTAGGAGAATAAGTACACTTTCTTTTTGTCCTACATTTTCAAAAATCCTTCAATTTTCTAAGGGTAATATTGGTGGCGTGTTTGTTTATAAATAAACTCAACTTATTTCAATTCATACTCAAAATCTAACTCGACTATAACATAACTTAACTATCCTCAATATTATCAATATAATTGAATAATATCAATCAATTATTTTTTACATATCACATCAACTTTGATTCACTATTCGTTCACTCACATAATTTTAATTTTTAACTAATCATCACTCCACATCTTCTTTCTCCTACTTTTACATCAAATCAACTTCAATTATTTTGTTTTAAATATTATTTTTGGTACGTAAAAGACCTCCGACCGATTGGAATGACCTGATCTCGAGCTCCTCACCGGTTGAATCCTTTTAGACCTGCAAAAACTCTCATATTGGAGGGGTTTACTAGTCAATAGCCTCCGATGCTTAAGTTAGCACTTGTAGAAGATGAAGTCATGTTTGTAAATTATATGTAGAGAGTGTAATCTAATGTGGGCTGCCCAGAGTGCCCGTTCGTATTGCTCGAGCTTCCTGAACGACCCAAATTTGTTAGGTTACGTGGATGTTTAACCCCCATAATATTTTTTCTTATCTTTTACTCTTTCTTATGAAACGGTCTAAACATGCGATCGACCCCGATTATCTCGAGGTAGAGTACCACTAATCTCGAGCTCTAATGCTCTGCCCATCTGGTCTCTCTCGACTATACGTACCTTCAAGTCGAGCTTTAATCAGGCCATCCAAGGGCCCTGATTCGACCTACCGGTGTTTCTCGTATCCTTGACGTCCTCTCTGACCTGAGGATATTTCGACCTATGAAGTCTTCAGCTCCCATTCGACTTGATGGTTCGCTTGGTTAAGTTCTTTTGCTCCCCAGGTCTAGTTGACCTAGTACGGTTATCCCATATCAATTTTAATATAACTTTAAAATCTCACTAACAACTAATCATACCATATTTTTTAAAATTAACGCGGGTTATTAAAAAACTTATTTTGAACGGATATATTTTTAAAATTAACGCTGGTTATTAAAAAAACTTGTTTTGAACGGATATATTGACTTTTTGATCGAAGCAAAGCAAGAAGGGAAAAAAAGAAAAAAGAAAAAGAAAAAAATCAATGAATGAAAGACTCGAGTCCACGCTTAGGTATTGTCGTCCTCTTTTTCCATGAATGTTAGAACCTTATCCACATACATATGCTATCTATTTGGCCCATTTAGGCCCATTTAGGCCGACCCTTCAAACATAGTCACATACATTCTAACTTCTAAGGACCACCTACAACAGTCAACAGCTCACACTAAATCTACATTTCCAAGAATGCATCATTTTGTGTCCTTAAAACAAATCAATGATAATATTGTGTGTAACAGTGACATCATTCAGTAATATCGTGTGTGCAAAAGTGACATCATTAATATTCATTCAAATTCGCCTTTTCTTCATTCAAATTCGCATTGGGACAATATATTGTGGAAAAAAAATGCCCAAATTTATGTTAATAATGATGTACCATGAATATGTAATGACTGATGTTGACTTAATAATATAAAAAATGAAAGAATGATGGGTAATAAGTAATACTTACTTGAGTGGAAGAAAGTTTCTACATAACTGTAGTCATATTGGTTTAAAGTTTTCAAAAATTGATTGAAAACGCCAACTTAGATAAAAAAAATAAATATGATGTGATGATTGAATTTTTAATTAATTTTAAATATTGTATTGGATTATTTCCAATCCTCGGCTCTACTCTGGATTAGAATTTACTCTACTATAAAGTAGAGTAAGTCAAAATTCAAGTTTCATCTCCAGCCTTCCGTGTTATATTTTATTTTACATCAAATATATTATTTTTTTATTCATTTTTTTTTCAAATCTACATTTTTATTCATGTATTTTGTGATTTATGTGTGTTGTAAACTTTTGATTTTATTGTGTCAAATTTTTATTCATATGATACTATTTTAATATTAAAAAATTACAAAATAAAATATAATGAATAAATAAATAAAAAACACAAAATTATTTAGAACAAAAAATACATTGTCCAAAGTTATTTAGCATAAAAAATACGTTTACTAATACATATTATACAAAATTTATCGTTAATATTCCATAAAAATACATCAGAAAAGAAAAAAAAAAAATGTGGAGATGCTACAATGTTGTTGTTCATATATCTAGAGTTGCGTTGATTTCTGGCGCTGCATTGGAGAGAACTTCATCGCCACTCTAGCGCAAATAGAGAATTGTGGCGCTACATTAGAGAGACTCTTAGTAAGATTGAAAAGAACAACTTGAGATGAGTAAGTCGTGTAATTTTATAAAAACATGTTGTTTCCATGCATATATTAACAAGCAGAGGCCGAGCTCATTTAAAATCTTGTTTGGGCTCTGCTTGATAAGACTCAAAAAGAGAATTTTTATATAATTTATAGTTAGGTTCGTTAAAGTTCGAAATCGACTCGAACTCGACTCGATATTAGTGATAAACGAGCCGTGCTCGAATTCGACTCAGCTCGTTTACAAGACTAAGTATGTTGTACCATTTATTTAAACTATTCCATGCATTCTACCAAGTAATACATACCAACACCAAATGCGTATAGGTTACAAACATATCAAGTTTATATCAATTGTTAGATCTTTTCAAATCCTAGTTACCAATTATATCTTCTTAGAGAAAACTATTAATTTGNGCGACCAATTTAGACTCGTTAAACCAGTCGACAACAAATTTAACGCACGTTCGTTCGAAAGAGAGATGGCTAGCAAAGCACATGGAGTCCTCGTGGGTTTTCCATCTTCTATGATGTCAATATACCTTTGACATATATATGGACCACACGCTTTAGATTAATTGTAACCAAACCTCAAACCATACGTACACAACACCGTACACACACATGCACAACACACATTTTTCGTTATTTAATGCACCTTTTTTTTTTTTTTTTTTAAATAATACTCTAATTTGCATATGAAAAATTGCCAAATTTTCTAAAAAAGTACTAAGTGAAGACGGAAGAGGTAGGAGAAGCTTAACACTTACATTACATGTATTATGTATTTTAATGATTCAATGACTGTTTAAATTTACTTGAAAGTTGAAACTCATCAAACTCGACACAAAATTCGTATTATGAAACACATTTCTTGATCGATTAATTAATTTAATTTGTAAACAGAAGTTCCATTCCATCTTAAATTTCATGATTAATTTTATTTTAATGGTTTGCAATGTCTTCTTGATAGACTTATCAACAGAAAAAACTGAAAGGAGACTTAAAAAGTTGAGGTTGGTGCTATATTAATTTTTTAGTACATTCTTTAATGATTTAGATGAAGCAAAATATTATAAAATGAAAAGAAGAATAATAAAGAAAAAAATATTTTCTTTGAAGCATATATATTGCTGGTCTGAATGTGACCCCCATGACAGTGATGACACCTTTTGAATAATTCACTAACAATCATCAACTTGTGTTCTTTTGTTTCCTGCTAACATCATTTTGTGGGCAGTTGGCTATTCTTTTACCAACTTTACAAAATTGGTTATTTTATGCTCTCATTCTCAATTCCCAAAACTCTTTTTTCCAATGCATAATTCAATAATTCATAAATAATCAATCTAATACCAGAATTTAATTACAAAAAGAAAAAAAAATAATACATTGATCTCGAGCTTCAGTCGATCGAATTCCAAAAAGATCTAAATATATGCTCGTTTTTCAAATTACACATCGGTCGGAGGCATTTGCTTGGACTTTATTTTCGAATTAAAATGTATTTCACCATGTGTTTGACAAGATTTGAATAGTTGATTTTAATAACATTATAACAAGAAATTTGTAAAGGAAAAGGATGATTGTCACTTGTATATTTTCAGTAACTCGATCTGCAAAATCATTCTGGCAAACTAAACTAATATAACTAATTAAAACATAAAAAGTTAATCAATTCAACCACAACACTAAACAAATAGTCACATAACACCATAAAATGCTTAACCAACCATAATAACTACCATTGAAGGTAGAAAAAATGAAAATAAAAATATATAATAAAAAAAAAAAATCTTGCTTAACATTCTTCAACCACACTCTACTAAGTAGTAACTCCCAACCATAACAACTACCATATTCATAGAGAGGGAGAAAAAAAAAAAGAAACATAGATAAAATCACTAAGAAATCGCCATGCAAATCGACAAGCTCGGCCAATCTCCACCGTTGATCTTGCACCCGATTTTCCCGCCATTTTCTCCCCAACAACGCCCTTCGAACTCTCCCTCGTCAAAAGCCTCGTGTTCGGCATTTTCCTCTTCTCCGTTTTGTTCTTCATCTTCTTCCTCAACCGATTCATCCGCCTCACGGCCCCCCCTAAGCAATGAGAGCCTAAGCCTCCCGTTTTCTCGCTCGGCTCGGAAAAAATTCCGAGCCGACGAGATATTGAAGGCCTTGATCACGAGCCGGCCGTTTTCTCGGTGCGCGCGCACTTGCACATTTTCGTCGCCGCTAATGGAAGTCAACGGCGGAGGAAAGTCAACCGACCGTTTTGTTTTCTTGGCAAAGTCGAGATTTTTTTTGGCCGGAAGAAGGCTCGGTTTTTCGAACGCGTAATGGCGGGAAAACTCGTCGAAATCCGAGATGGTGTCGTTCCCGGTCTCGCTACCCAAGCTCTCGGTGCACATTTCGAGGGACTTGGTACTTAGAGAGGAGGACGAGCGCCTCACGAGAGGGTGGATGTAGACTTCCTCGGTTTTTTGTTCCGAGCCCTTGTTGTCGGTTTCGGATGGTTGTCGAGGGAAGGGGAAGGATAGGGCGTGTTTGGGTGGGGTTAGCGGGTGGAGCGAGTCACGGGGTTCGAAGAGAAGGGGATCCAAACAGGACATTAGGGTTTGGGTTTGGGTTTGGCATAGAGTTAATGAGGTGGTTGACATGTTTTTTGTTGGTGTGTGTTAGGATTTTGTTGTAGGGGAAAAACAGGGGATTGTTAACAGGGGAGGTTGGGGTTTTCAATATTTTTTTTATGTTTATATGATGAAAATGGGATGTGNTCACATTTTTTTTTCCTTTTTCTTTTTTTCTTTTTTACCTAATAATTACCTACAATTTTTATTTTTATTTTTTATTTTTTTAAAAAAAAAGAAAGAAAAAAAGAAAGAAACAAGCAGCTTTAGGCATTCTGTTTTTTCAGACCAGAAGTGAGCAAGCAAAATGTCCACAAACACGGGATTAGGCTTACAGGATGTTTTTACTTCTTCTTGATACCCATTTATTTTGCTTGTGTTCTTTCTTTTTTCATGTCTGCTTTTCCACTTCATATTTTACCTGTTTTCTTGTTGGCCTACAGCTTCAAATCTAATTGGATGATTTCTCAATCTATAATTAGAATTATGCAACAATTGGTCAAGCTAGTTTGCATTAAATAGTGTGATTTTGCTAGATGAATTGGCATCAAGGTCATAAATTCGAACATTGTAATTCTTCAGGTTACTCTTTACTTACCAGTGTTGTATCTCAATTTCTTGATTTTTCTTTGGACCAAATATGTAAATATTTTATTTAAAAAAACGGATGATAATTATCATTTCTTCAGCTAATTAATTAGGATAAGACACTCACCAATTAAAAAAAGGTGACTCACAAACAAAGACAAAAGAATAGTTTAATGAAAGTGTTCATGTACCTCAAAAGTTGTGTAATAAATACCCAGACAATAGTTGCATTAGCAAACATATTAATTAATCATTTGCTTTCTTCAATCAAACAAGAAAAGTAACACCACCAATAGGTTACTTTGATCTTTCATGTTGAGGCTTTTAAATCTTTTGAGCTCAGCTGACATATATTATAATTTAACACATGAAAATGGGGTTAGAATTTTAAGAAAGACATCTTTTGTCCTAATCCCTATGCTAATAATTTCCATTTTTGGAAAGATGACACTCAGACTCATTGCTCAAACAATTCATTCCCCCTTTCCTTAATCTTTGTGACTAAATAATTAAAAATTTTCTCCTTTGTCTCTTTGTCTTGTTCTATCGCAAATTCTTATTTGAGATGGCCTAATCATTAGACAATCGACCTGTCACTTTTAAAAATAAAAATGCATACTTATTATCTTATGACATGTCATACTTTTGTTTACACTATTTTTTTCAACGGATCAGATCTCCTGTTGTATTTTCATATTCCATCTCGTGTAACATTTCGTTAGATGTGTGACATGTTTACAAATATGACATCATCATGGACACATGCTATACATCTAATGGAATGGAACACAAAAATTAATACACAATTAGGACAGAAAAATCTCACTCTGTTTTTAGAGTAATACATTTTAGTTTGAAAGTAAGAATGTAAGGTGGTCTAATTGTTAGACGTGCCTAACCTATCCTTACTATTGTCCTATTTAGCTTTAATTTGAGGCATCATCATTAAGTGAATTGCTTAAAGACAAAGGAAAGTCGGACGAAAGAAACAAATACATAATTAAAGGAAAGTTGAAAAGAAACTCTATAAAATTGGACGGTCCATTGGTGCTGAGCAAATTTTTGAAGCCAAATGTCATATTTTTATAATAATATAATAAATTAATATACCTTATTTGTCAATATAATTAAATATTGGGGGGCTTTTGTTACTGATTGGTTAATTACTGGAGAACTTTTGCTTGTGATTGGTTTGATTCAACTATTCAAGCCTCCATTCATTATCCCTCCTTAGTGTTGTGCAAGTCATCATCAATAAGGCATATTAATGAGAAAAAACAATGGTGGGTCTCCCATATATATTCATGCTGCTCATTACAGGTACATCACTAAACATTTGAGAAAGATGAACAATCTTTCTACTTTTAATTTAGGCTAAGCTCAGCAGATATTGACATCAGTAGGGCACCTGTGAGATTTTTCCTGTCAAATGGAGGTGATTTGAATGTTTCACGAGAGGTGTTGAGGATTTATTCTCCGAGTTCACTTAAAACGGATCACATTTTCATGTCGATTATTGAATGTTA